TTACTTCACAGCAGGCTAGAAGCATGAGTTCAAAGGCTTATGTGGCAGAGAACTCACATTTTAAATGGACAACTGTTTGAAGCACAGCTTAAATCATCAAAGTTTTACTCATTTTGATCCTGGCTAATTTGCATTTTGGATGAAAATCAACTCAGCATCTCCTAACCATAGAAATAACAGCTCCTGTCACTCTAAAAGGCCCCTAATTGCCAAAGCTCTTGAGAACTTTCAAGTTGAAAGCCTCCCTACTGTGCTGCCTAGCAACTCTGCCTAGCCAAGAGTTCCCTGTCGCTCTGCTCTTACCTGGGAATTCAGCTATGGATTAAGACTGTCCCTCATGTAACCTTGTGCTAGTGGCAACCAGGAGTGTCACTCAGTGTTCCTCCTGGTCACCGCTTTTCTCTGAATTTACCACATTTGCTCTTCGAGAGTCAGGCACGCCCTTGCCCCCACATACTAGAGGTAATATCTGTATCATTGACCTTTTCTAAGCAGCAGGTTTTGTTTCATGACTGCTAAGTTATTGGGGAGAGCTGCAATTTATTTTTGATCAAAGTATTTAAAATATTTAATAAGGCATTAAAACAAAGTATATGTAAAAATTAACTTTCATAGTTTAAGATTTTTATGGAATACCTATAGTTTTACCATAAGACATTGTTTCACATTTAGCTGTCACAGTAAAACTCTGAATAGTAGAGTAAGATTTATGTAAAAATGTATTGCTTGTAGTTAATGGAAAGCTGTTTTGTTAATATATGGAAATGCTTCCTAGTAATTGTTAGTCATCAGAATTATCTCCTTTCCTTCCATTAGACTGATATTTTAGCATGTTAAACTGATTCTCAGTAGATCCAGTGGCTGTCATATTTTTCTCTAGGACTATAGGGTGTCAGAGTTTCAAGATAACATTATTAAAATAAAACCCTGTGCTCATATCAAGCACATCAGAAAATCAGTGGTGTACAACAGCTTGAAAGCTCTGGGCTTTGCTAAGTAGATACCATCACAGCTTGCCAGAGTCATCAACCACCAAATGGGACTGTGATATAAGAGTCTAAAGGACAACTGCTACCTTTCCAATGGAAGGAATCAATATTTAAAACTGTAGCTTTGCATTTCTCTGATTTGAATTGATTTTTTCATTCTGGACAAAGCATATAAACTTCCTACGAATTTAATAACTATGCTTCTTTTCTAAATTCTTGCCTTTATAAAATAGTTTCTGGGTTGTTGTTTTTTTTTCAATTTAAGCATTTATGACTATGGAATAATTACAGCCAGTCTATCTGAAGTTTTAAAAAATTAATTTAAGTGATAACCAAAGAAAGTATCCGGTCTCTTTCAGTTTTATCATCTGTAGCCTCAACATCAGGTAATTGAATTAGGCAAAACTGACAAAACTGATTTAATAAATTCCATGTCATTCTAAAGCTAAATCTAAAATGAAAAACAAATTATTTTTCAGTTGATATGAATAACCAATGCTTTTACTGTGTAATGTATTCTGTCCAAACATTTGATTGAGACAAACAATTAATTATGATACTTTTAAATTGTTCAGATCACAGTGATAAGTATTCAAAAATTGTACACGTGTGATAACTCATATGACAATTATAACACAATCTTAAAGCACAATGTGTGCTTTAAATCGGGGTTTATAATACTCAGTTGGATAACATATCTGCTTTTACTGGCATGATGCTGTAGATGTTCCATTCATAGCCCTACAGTATTAACAACTTTGGTGTCTTAGGCAAGCTCTAGCTGCCACCAACTTCATCGCTGCCTGAGGGCTTTTTCTAGGGAAGGATATCGGATCTTATCAGAGCCAGAAATTCACAACTAGAAGCTTTCAAATAAATGTATTCCAACTTCTTATCTCTTGAATCAAAATGTGTTCTAGGTTATTTCTCAAAATGCAAGTTGCCTAGATGATACAATTTTTACAGGCTGCCTTTCCTTTCCAGTTCAAATTTCTCACTTCTCTGTATTTCTGCACCAATGATATGAACTATATGTATTTGAATTTCTTTGTCAGCTCTGGCTTGGCCGTTTGAGAAATCCAGACTAAAACATTTATCCACAAACCTTTTAGTTGTGTGGTCTCCCTTGCATCACCAAATTTTCAGTGTCTTTAGTTTTTCTTGCTAAGAGAAATGCCACTTTCTATTTTTATATAGGAATTGTTGTCTAGTTCCCAGGGTAATGACTTTACAAACTATAGTTTACTTTATTCTGTTTTTCGTTTTTCTTGTCACCTTCAACAAACTCTTCTTGAAGCATTTTTTATTGAGGACAATCCTCTCACTTTGTGTTTACTCTTCCAGTCACTGGACCCAGCCACAGGCTCAACCTCATTCAGAACACGGAAGTGTTCTTGCCAAAGTGACTTTATTTTTAAACCCAGAGAACACATATATATCTTCATCAATCTCAGAAGCTCAGTAGAGACCACTGGGCATAGACTACCATTTGTGAACTTTCACCTTTCAATGCCTGCATCTCTGAAACATTTGGGCTCTTTTGTCGCTCCTAACATGGCTTATCTGTTTAATATACTTTTACAAAACCCCAAATATCTTGTATTTTTATTTTACCTAATGTTAGAAAATGGAGTCACATTTTATCCAAAGAGTCCTATGAGAATTGTATAATTTGTCTTTTGTTTGTCTTCTCAATGATTAGCTTATTTTAAAACAAAACTAAAAGTCCTCTTTTGCAAATAGCACATTAAACTTTCTCTAACCATTTAATATCTTCTTTCTCCTGAAACTCTTGGCTGAATTATTAATATCTTAAGCCTGAACAATAAAATATATTTCCAACTCATATCTGACTTGAGACGTACTACCTTTCCCTAATCTACATTTGACACAGTAACCAGAATAACTTTTCTATTATTTTATTTTTAAGCAGAAGCCCAGTTGACTAAGGCAAAATTTCAGTTCTTCCTGGGGCACACGACTTCATCAGAATCTGGTTTTGTACTCGCTTTCAAACATCATTAAGTAACTCTCCAATTTCTATATAAGCATATGTCATACATTCAGAATTACTTTAGGTATTTAGTCTTCTTTAATGCTTGTAGAAACCAAAAAAGTATAAAAAGAAAGAAAAGTATGTAGGAAAGTAAATATTTAGAATGATAAGTAAATCCTAATAAATTACAAATCTTTTAAGACTTAACAAATTCTAAGAGCATTACAAAATTGTATACTCTAATTGTGTCTTCATATCATAACAATTTTATAATCTAATTTTATAAAGAAATACAAAAATAATGCAGTATCATTTGTATTGTATATATTTATCATATATTATTTCATATGGAAACTGGCATTCTAGTGTTTTTTGTTTGTTTGTTTGTTTATTTTGAGACAGGGTCTCACTATGTAATTGAGGCTGACCTGGAATTCACTGTGTAGCCCAGGCTGGTCTCGAACTCATAGCGTTCCTCCTGCCTCAGCCTCCCGAGTGCTGGGATTACAGGCATGAGCCGCCACGCCTGGCTACCCATTCTAGAGTTTTGATACTAATGTGTAGAGACAGTAGGTCCAAGATTTATTGAGGACGGGATTGTGAAGGCTAGGAAAGAGAGGTTTCCATGGAACACGAGATTTATGAGATCAGACATAGGTATTCAGTGTCTTAATTTTGTAATATCTTAAAAATCGTTAGTTTGTACATGTGCAGTTTTAGTACACGTGCAGCTCATTACATGCAAATTATACTTCACGGGGTTAAATCTGAAAAAAGTATATTATACCATCAATTTACTTCAATTTCTAAATATTTTAGACCATTTCTAAATTTGCTGCACTTGATAACTGTAATGCCCAACTTTCATCTTCCTGCTTTTGTATTATTGTAATTGGAAACTTACTCTACTTTTTCTGCAAGATACTAATTGAATAGACAATACTTATTTTTGTTTAAATAATGAATCTTTGAATGTTTTTTGAGAGAAAACACAATATTTTATATTTAGCTACATATGTAGACTTTTTTTTTTTTTTCCAGTACTGGGGATAGAACTTAAGTCCTTGTGCTAGAGAGGCAGGCATGGTGCCACTGAGATAAATCCCCGGTTGCATGTGTAGACTTTTTGTTTTGATTTTCTCAATTTCTATTAATAGGATTTTCTAGAATTCACATCTATAAACTTCCATTATTCTCTGAGTTATGAGAAGTATGAGGTAAGGTCATTTTTTCTAAGATTTTGGACAGCAAAAGAATAGAATACTAGAGGGAAATAGAATAATTTGGAATACCTAATAAAGGAAGTAATGGAAGGTGAATATGAGTTAAATATGTCAGTCTACAGTTTTCTGGACAAGGATGACATATTTTGCTGTAGGATATGCTTAAAACCTTGTGCAAATGGCAAATTATTTTTTACTTTTTCACCTAGTATTTTCAAAAGACATTTTATCATGTATCTAATACTCTTCATTTTCAATTCGAAAAATATTTTAAGCTGTTGGCAAATGTTTCAGGAAATGTTAACAGTGTTAAATAAGTTAATAATTAATAAAGATGATTTTTGTATATATTGAATATATATCTGTTTAGTATAAAAGTTCATAAACAAAATATTAATAACATGGTAAGCATTGTTAATCACTAAAATGTCATATGCATGCAAATTTGTTATGCATGTAATGTATAAGATAGAATAAAATGTATATGCAAGTAATGTTAAAAGTTTACAATGAAATTAAACTTGAACTTTTCTGGGAGAAATACATTTTTATGAATTATCAGCTCTTTAGAAGGAGAATCAGAACTATTACAATTATTACCTTCCACTTTTGTAAATATAGAATGATGACTCTCAAAATCAATGGTAAAAGGATAGTTCACCTAAAAATTACTCAACAGTAAGTATTAACCTAGCATTATTAAAAATAGCCGATTTTCGAGTACTTAGTATGCTGAACACTGTTCCAAGGACTTAATAGGACTTGACTGTTTTCGTTGTACAATATCCTCAGAGGAAGAGATCGTGAAACCCCACGTGCATTTGAGGGAAATAAGAGGAGATGGGAGCAACCTGTGATTCCAAGCTAGAAGATAGTAAAGCCAAGATCTTCTCGTATGCCAAGAAGACACAAATGACATTCTTAATTAATTATGCCCCATTTCTTTAATGAGCTATAATCACAGAACCTGAAATAAACTTTATTCGTTTAATCTCCCATCATTACCGGTCTAATTTCACAATATAAATTCTTTAATGAGAAGACTTTTAACTGGTAAATTAGGCCGACTTCCTTGAGGATAGCACAATTTTGCTCAAACGATTAGAACTGTGTTAAGGTGTTTCATTCCTAAAGCACCGTGATGACTGTTATAGGTTTATATAATCACCTGCTCTGGAAATAAAAAAGTGCTAAAAAAATCCACCAAATGTCTGTGTTTTTATTTTTTATTTTTTATGAGCTTGGGACCTTCTCAAAAGAGTTGTATATTTCCAGCCTATGGCTCAAAATCCCATGACACTGAAGAAGAATCTCAAATTTGAAATTTTGTGTTTTGGCCTATAGCAGCATTCCTTATTATATAGAAGATTTCATCTATTTAAAATGTTCTTCAATTGAAATATTTTATTAACATGCCTTTGTATTTAACATCTATTCTTAAATTTAGTGGCTAAAATAAAGTTCTTTATTTGTGGGATATGGTATTTAAATGTAAAATGAAAGGGCCCGTGATTTAGCTCAGTGGTTCCACCGCCTGCCTTGCAAGTGCAAGGTCCTGAGTTCAATTCCCCGTACCCCCCACCAAATTAATTAATTAATTAATTAATGTAAAGAAAAGCAAAGAGTGTTTGACCTCTTTCTCAATTATTTAAAACACCTCACAAAGATTTCACCTCCTAGAAATAAAATACCTGCTGTGAATGTTTTCTAAGCGGGCATAGGAGATATTTTAGAGAGTGAGAGATTTCTCTAATTTACAATAGCACAAATACTACTTTCTCACTAATATATCCATCCATATAGATATAAAGGTATAAAATAACTACACTTGGGGTTGTATACAGTTTAATAAAATCAATCTCAACAAGAAACACTGCTGCTTTTGACTCAGGCAAAAATGTGCACAGTTCAAAATATAAAGTGCTTCTTTTTTCAAAAGGATGACATTTAGAAGGATAAAGAATAAGATAGTTATACTGAATATTGCACAAGACAGACTTATTTTTTAGAATTCTTCTTAAGCAATTTTAAGTTTACAGCAACGTTTAGTGAAAACACAGAATTCCCAAACAACTCCAAACTCATCCAATTCATAACCGTAAATATGCCTCATCAGAGTGGTCTATTTTTTGGTATTAATGTGTTGAAAGTTAGTACATTTGATTAGTCTGAACAAACATTCGGTGGCATACATCCACCATTACAGGGTTAGACACTGTAGTTTTACTGACACAAGAAATCATCCGTTCCGCTCCTGCCCCCTACCTTGGGAACTAATAATTTTTATTGTGTGTATAATTTTACATTTTCTAGAACGTCATTGCAATGGAATCAAACTGTGCATATAGTTTACTCATACTGGCTTAATTCACATAATTAGATGTGTTCATGTTCATCTGTGTTTTCTCATGGCTGATAATTTCGTACTTTTCAATGCTGAACAGTACTCATTTTCTGAATAAACCCAGTGTACTTATCCATTCAGTTTAGGTGCTTTTACATCTTGGTGACTGTAAGTAAAGCTTCCTGTGTACAGGTTTTTATTAAGGACCTATGTTTTCAAACCGGTTGAGTAAGTCCAATTTCTGGATTGTGTTTAAAGAGTGTGTTTCCTTGCTGTAAGAAAGGGTCTCAGAATGATTGGACTGTTTTGCCCTCCAATTAGCAACAATCACAGTTCTTATTGCTCTATATGTTTATTAGCATTTGGTGTTGTGAGTATCTGGCATTATGCCTGTTCAAAGTAGTGTGTAATTCTGCCTTATTATTTTAATTTTCCGTTTTCTACTCACATATGCTGTTGAACATCTTTTCATGCTTACAGTTCTATATACATCTTCTCTGGTTAAATGCATCATTAGGTAATTTGTTCATTTCTTAATCAGACTGTCTGTGTGTTGAATTTCAATTATTTGCATATGTCTTTGGCAAGTATTTTCTCACAGTGTATGATGTGTCTTCTAATACTTATAACATTACCTTTCCTGCAACAGAAAATTTTACTTTTAATAAAATCAATAGGACGGGCTTCTCAATTAGTTGTTTTATTCAAGGCACATTGTTTCTATCATAAGTTATCATGTAGAAGTGTTATCATTTTTATTTTCTAGTTAGGGATACATATGTTTAAGCTAATCTATTCAGGGCATAAGGTCTGTGCTTTGTTTTATTCATTTTTTCAGGTGGATGTGTAGTTGTTTCTCACATTTTATCAAAAAGAGTGTATTGTATTGCCTCTGCTTCTTTGTCAAAAATCAAATGAATATATGTTTGTGGGTCTATTTCTGCACTACTTTTTTCTATTGGTCTGTATTTTCATCCTTTTTCTTTTTCTTTCTTTCTTTTTTTTTTTTTTTTTAAAGACCTAAAATGTACCAATAAAAAAAATGACTACACATTATAAAAATCATTCTGAAGAGCTAAGAGAAATATGACTAGACCGTACATAACTAAAAATAAGACCAAACCTGACAATATTGTCTCATTTCTAACTGAAAAATTATAAAATCCTTTAAAATAAATCATTATAATGTAAAATTTATAAAAACATTAATGTTCCATAGAGTAAAAAACTAAGAATAATTAAACTAGAATTAAACTAGCTAGCACCACATAAATAAAAATACAGAGTAGAAATTGATATAAAGATGATTCAGATATTGGAAATAGTAGAGGACTTTAAAAAACTTAAGAATGTCTTGATGATTCAAAAGGAAAAAATGTAAAAGTTGACAAATGTGAAGTATTAATAGAGTAATCAAACACACTAAAAGAACCAAATTTAAATCTTAGAAATAAAATATATAAAACCCCAAAATAAAATTTAGTGGATTTATTAGTCAAAGAAGTAGTATAGAAAAAAAATACTGTATGCAGAGGCAAAGTACATAACATGAACTGTCTAATAAAAAGCAGAGATGGAAGAAAGAAATGAAGGAAAGAAAAGACAGAAGAAGGAAATATTGGAATGGCTAGGGATTAAATTATATTTTGGATGCCAGGCGTGGTGGTGCATGCCTGTAATCCCAGCACTCGGGAGGCTGAGGCAGAAACATAGTGAGCCTGTCTCAAACAACCAAAAAGAAAAAAAAAATTTATATTTTGGAAAATTTTTAACAACCTACTACAAATTTATTTAATGTTCCAAAAAAATGAAGATGTGAAAAATGATACAAAAATATGTTTGAAGACAAGATGGGAAACATTCACAATTTTCTTTGAGATCTAAAGACTACAAGGAGATAGCTGTTGGTAATATGGTAGAGCTGAGCAAAACAAATGCCACATTTACTTTCAGCAGACGACCAGGAGGGGCAGTCACAGAGGGAGGCCAGCATAGCACATTGGATATCAGATTGGAGGTGATTAGTGCTTACCTGAGGCAAGGAATCAAAGAAAAATACAGAAGACTAAAACAGAGGGGCTGAACAATTAAGTATATAAAATAATTGCAATGGGCAGCAAAAAAAGGTTATGTAAATAGAGAAAAAAAAAACCAAGAACTTGGGATGATTTTAGGTTAAGTTTGGATACATTATTTGAACTCGTGGTTTTAAAATGTATAAGTAGAAAATTAATTTGTATGTAAATAAAAATGTATATAAATGCTGAGTTTATTTGTTCTAATTTCAAACCTATAAGCAATGGCAATCCAATAATATTGAGCACATCTGAAATTTATATTTTGATTTGTAAAAGTTATTTTTC